TCTTTCTGCGAGGCAGTGGTGCTAACCACTGAACCACCTTGCAGCCCAGTATGAGATATCAGCAGACAGTAAATATTAAATGACTTGGATCAGATAGGGGGCTAAAAGAATAAAATAAAGAGCAGGACATCCCTATTTTTTTTAAGCAAGGACAGTAAGTTAGTTTAATGTGTTGAATTTGGTTAAATGCAGTCGCCAATTATAATACATGCTGAAAGAGACGTGAACATCTACAGAAAACTTCATACCAAGCCACCCGATGGGTGTCAAGACATTTCACTCACATTGTGGAGTTACATGAAAAGTCAAGGGATCACCGAAGTCATGGGGCTTTATTCTTTAGGAACCTTGAATCTTCACGCAATTTTGAGCTAGTTAAGTTAAGTTAAAATATTTCACCAGAAAAGTGAAGACACATACCTGTTGTTGGAGCTAGAACCAAAGTTTGTATATTTCAGCCCATGGTAGTTACAATAGTCATTAAAATTAATCATCTATTAACAATGAAAGTCTGTACACCAACTTGGTGTACAGACTCTACGTATGTAGAGGATGGGAATTTGACCTGCAGGTAGTGCTGATTAAAAAGTCAAGCGATCATCAAACAAAAAGCAGTTGACAAAAACTAAGAAGCAATTTTTATGGCATTCTGGTCAAGGTCTTTCATAGATCACAGATCAGATTTTCACTGTACAATTATCACAGCCAGAAGAAATCATGACAACAATACTCTCACTATACTAAACACATAATGCTATGAGTCAAATTAATTTTCAACTTTTTAAATTTTGTCTCTTTCTTTGTCTTTTAACATCAAATATACTGTAAAAATAAAAAATAAAAATCCTGTTTAAAAAAAGTGAAAGTTTGAAATAATTACGTTCAAAATTGTGAAATACTGTAATGCCAAAAACTGTAAAAACAGTGAAAATACCAGCAAATATCTGTGAAACAACTGTTAACAGATTCAAACTAACGTAATTTCACATGTTTAGCAAAGACAAATTACTGTTTTTAAAATTACAGATTTCTAATCTGGACATTATGTACAGTTTTGGCCTTTTGTTTGTTTTTGGTTTTTTTTAAGTCAGCATGTACATTAATACTTTTTTTTGTGAATTTAGTAAATATTAAGTCCCTGATATATATATATATATTTTCTCCCAAATAATGACAAATATCTATGAAATATTGATATATTTTTTTACTTGGTTAAACACAGTAAAAAAATTAAGTAATTTGTTGCAAAACAACAACTTACCATTTGTAAAAATACAGACTTTTGATGTGAATGTTATTGACAGTTTTAACATGTAAATGCATACTTTGATTTGACTTGTTATTAACTGTGATTTAACAAAGAAAAGTACAATATTCAAAAAAAATTCTGGTAAAACTGCAAAAAAAAGTATCATTTTCACTGCGTATATAGGTACTACGACTGGACTACTTTCCTACTTACAATTGTATCATATGTGTATTACTAATACAATATTTCTTAATAATACAATTTCTTTTTTTTTTTTTTAATTTTCCTATTTCTATTATTCGTGCAAATTCCTACGGCGACACCAACAGCCAAAACCAAATTCCTTGTATGTTGTGTACGTACTTGGCCATTAAAGCTGATTCTGATTCTGATTCTGATATCAACATTAATTTTTAAAAATATGACCATCAATACTGGTGTGGGACCCTGTATCCATTCATTAGTTGTTGAGAATTTCTCTCTGGAACAAAGTGGCCCACTAACTCACGCTTCCTTCCTTCCCTGGAATCATGTCGACCAAATATTCACCCAGAACATCTCCCCTGTGAAATATGTAGCCAAGTGACTTCCATGTTAAACATGCAGAATAGTATAAAGGAAACATTGGGTGTGTGATTTTCCTTTGACCTCTGTTCCATGGATTTTGTGAAACTTCTGTCTCTTTACATTGCAGCCCGTGGGACAGACTCTAAAATAAACACTATTAAACTTTGCATAAACATGCTTCTCTCTGTCTTTTCTACTCACTAGCTTCCCATTTACTTTTATCCGGTGTGTGTCATTCTTATTTTAAACCAACGAGCTATGCTGCCTCTGCTGACGCTCCTCCAGTGGGGGTCATCTCTAATAGTTAACCCCGATCATCTCCTCGCTGTGGACAAACATCCTGATGGGATTAGTTTAACTTGTCAAACAAGTGACTTGTGCTGTTACATTCGCGGGTTTAGTGTGTGTGATTGTGTGCACATGGCTGCCTCGAGAGCAGAGCTGATTGTGTTTGATCTCAGAGTCGTCCTCCACGGCTTTATCAGCTGGCTTACATAAAGGTCAGAGGTCAGGCCTAGATTTGTGTCAAGAGAAGTGAGGTTGAGTTGACTCGTGTTCCCATTGGTCGTTCCTGGTCCTGTGATAAAATTTAACCAGTTCTTTCCATATACAGCAGAGGGAAACGATAACAGGAGTAGTTATACAATATATTAAATCACTCCTGTGATAAAAGTGAACCAGTTCTTTCCATATACAGCAGTGGGGAACAATAACAGGAGTAGTTTTACAATATATTAAATCACATTTCTCGCAAAGGACCCCTGTCTGAATCATTGCAGCTTTTGTTGAATTTCTGTTCTGTGTGTTGGATTACATTCCTTCAAAATATTCAGTGGGTTTAAAGGAGTATTCACATTTATATGTATGTAGGAAATCTCTGCTGAATATCATTTTTTTAAAAATTTATATATATTTTTCTTTTGGAAATGAAATAAGCATTGGGCTTAGATATGTTGTTAAAAACTCTTAGCTTATTGAGCATGTAATTTATCGTTAATGTCAACCCGAGATGAATAAACAAGCTTTTTCCACAGGATTCAACCATATCTCACAGTCACCACTCGATTATTATCATATCAACTTTGTTTAATAGTCATAAAAAGTTGGTTTATAGGAGGGTGATCATAACCTTAATTAATTCAGGTTGTGATATTCAGTATGTGTAGTTATGTATTAGAACCCTGATAATATGTATATATAAAAGGAGATAGATTTAGAAAATATCATTCAGTCAAGCTGATAATTCAGAAATTGTATTTATTTTTTTCTTTTACAGATTTGGGAAAATTTCGACCACTCTCATATTAGAACATTAAATATGAAGCTGCAGCCTGCAGCCAGCAACAGAAAGTCTATCTTTGTAATTTTACGACAAACCAATGTTATCGGTTTTATTCCCTTTAAACAGAGACAGGATGTCTGTTTCCCCTTGTTTTCAGACTTTATGCTAAAGCAAAGCTAACCTGCTGCTAATATTTACTGTACAGACACAACATCATCAGAATCAGAATGTTTCCCAAAATACCAAACTATTCATTTAAGTAACAAACAATAGTGCCACTTGATACACAGAGAAAAAACAAAACAAAACAAGGTTGATTCCTGCTGTAACATCTTAAATTATCCAGCTTCTTATATTTGCTTATTTTCATGTTTGGTTCATTTCAGTTCATCCTTTAAAGTGACGTAACGGCTGACATTTTTGCCTAGAAACCTACATTTGATGACCTGTGTGCATGAACCCGACAGGAGTGGAGTGGATGTGGTGAAGGAGTGAAGTGAGCGTCGATCAGTTCGGCTGCGCTGCGCTCTGCTTGCCTCTCCATTTGCTTCCCCTCCCCGGCCAGTTAAGAGTAACTGCGTGCTCAAGGACTTCTGAGGCCTGGTTGCTTTACCCACGAGGCTCCATTTGTGTTTGCCCTAGTTAAACCCAGCCCCTCAGTGATAAAGCAATATGCTGACGTCCTAATGGAAAGACGTAGACTCTTCTCTTCCTTGACACTCGGACAAACAAGATTATGTGCGCCGCCTGCCATTTGCAGACTCTTTGTATTAGTGGATTTCTCTGTTTACATTATTAATACCTCTCTTTGGGGATCAGCCTGCTAGGTGTAACCTGAGTGTATTTCTTAAAAGCATCAATTCTTCATCGCAACATTCTCACGTTCAGCCTCTCAGCCTCTGTCCGCAGCACGTCGGCGCGCTGTCGTAGTGCTGCGAGGGAGCTGCAGTGCAATAAAACACTCCCGGTGATCAGCCCACAAGTCCTTTCAATCTCTGCACCAAAGCGGCCGGCGTTCGCTGAAGCAGCATCGGAGCGCAGACTCGGTGATGTACCTGCGTTCTCCGAAAATAAAACCCACACATGCTTGAGCACCCGCGCGCCCGTGACACACGTGCATGCACACGCACACACATCGGCACACTGACGTCCTCCATTATTTACACCCAGGTGTATCTGCATGCAAACGGCCCATTCTGAGACAATCTGATCACACAGCGGAGGTTCGCCCGGTCTGTTCCTTTGCTCGGTGAGAATATCGCCGGGGCGGAATGGAAACTTCATTTTGCAGGGGCTAATATTAGCCTGGGCCTCTGGAAAATTCCTTTTAAATGATCACAAGCTGAGAAAAGGCAAAGAATTTGTTTAGTGTTTTGCCTGACAGTCTTCACTGCATACACGGCAGTTTGTTTCTTTTTTTTTTTTTTTTCAGATGGTACAGCACACAGGAGGGTCCTGGGAACACAGATGTGGAGGCAAGGAGGGCCAAAGGGGCTCATATGATGAAATTTAGGACTCTTCGACTGTCAGCCCCATCAGTCTCTTTGACTGGATGACTTTTTCCTGGCACTGTTAACACTTGAACTACCATGTTGTACATCCCTGGTCCTTTAAGAAGAGTTCACATCACTTTGTGTCACCTATCTTCTGTGTGATGCTGTTGTACTTACTGCAGTGTCATTGCACTGAAGTTATCTGACATTTATTGTTCCTATTTCACAGCAAAAAAAAACTATTATGTATGAAGCATTTGTCCATGATTCATGTCAGATAGGTATGTTAGAGATAAGAAGAGCCATGTGTCTCTGCCTGTTTGTCCCTTTGCTCACTGCCTGACCTACATTTAATTGTCTTTATGTTTATATGACCCTAACTTTATAACCTGTGTGTGTGTTCTGCTAGGAAAATCCCACCTGGCCATAGTTCAGAGGGTGAACAACGAGGGCGAGGGAGACCCTTTCTACGAGGTTCTGGGTATCGTCACCCTGGAGGACGTCATCGAAGAAATCATCAAGTCCGAGATCCTGGACGAGACTGACCTGTACAGTAGGTTCCCCTCTCGAAGGTTACGTTCTTTAGACTTTAACAATGAATTAAATGAGGTCATATAATGTAAAACTCGTAGCAACACACTCCCTAAGAATTATAAGCCTGCTTGAGGATTTTAATGTCTTTCAGTCCGATTGTTTTGGTTTTATGGCTTCAAACTCTGCTTTCATCAGCATCGCTTCCACATGTAACCACCAGTTTTCTGTAAAAACACACAAACCACACACAATCTGAAATTCTTCAAATAGCAGGCAGACAAATGTAATGACAAGCTGGCAATCACAGTGGAGCATTTAGCGAATTTAGGGACGCACAATGGTATCGTCTGTATCAGCTTTAAACTGAAACATTGACAGATAGATAACGCCTGTCACTCTAAAAGTTTGCAGGTTTATTTGAAAATGTTGCATAAGTAAAATATGGCATGTTTTACGTGTAAGTTTAATTAGTTTTCTTATTCTGCAAGTTCTGTAATTTTATGTCTGCAGCTGCCAGTGGAACATCCCCATTAGAGAAGAGATGATATGATGTAAATTCCACTGCAGGAGACACTTGATGTTTTCTGCAATTAGATGAAAAAATATGTGCATATATCATTACAGACATCTGCAGTCTGACAAAATGAGCCAAATAATATTGGCATAGGTGCAAATATTATGGATTCTTAAACAAATTAATATGAGTGTTGCTTCATTTCTGCAGGCAGTGTAACCAAGCAAAACAATATATTATATATGGCAACACTACATTGACTTATTCTAGGACGAAAAAGCTATTAAATCAGCTTTGTATGTCTGTAAATCCACTACTATCTCCCTTTGTTGCTCCAGTTTGGTTTCTACCAGCTCTAGACAAAAACCTCTGGTTCTTTACATGTTCACCAGCTCGTTGCTACCTTTGTCTGTCTACCGTTTGCTACAGCGTGGTTACTCCAGGGTGCAGTTAGTTTTTATAATGTTGTTGCTGAAGAGCTGCCTGCACTGCCAAAGCAGTAAAACAGGCAGCCAGAAAACCTGAATATTTAGCTAAAAAGCTCCACAGAGCTGCGGTGGCACTTCTCTGTAAAATAATCTTGTGTGAGGATGTCTTAATTGGTGTTTGTTTGTCAACTGAAGTGTTTTGAGCATATTACTCTTGATGAGGAACTTTTTTTTTTTACTCTTCATTTCTATGAGGAGTTAAAGATGCTTTACTTTTTTTCTTGTTTATACTGGGCACCAAATCCTGTAACATAGAACTTTTTTTTTCACATCTTTCACCCAGGGAGAAATAATTTAAAGTCAGAACTTGTATCACCTCCAACTTTTTCATGTATCACACCAAACTGTGAGTGGCCTTTCCTTGTTACACCTCCAGTGGTATCAGTCAGGGCCTACTGAGTACGTGCCAGTCTGTTTGTTGCCCTAATACATATGGTTTTCAGTAATGCTGAGAATGTGGTGAGAATGTGGTAACAATGTAGCCCCCTATAGCTCTTCTTTAGTTCTGAGAAAGACGCCACTGCTACGTTTCCGGAAAAAGTAATAAGGTTTGGGTAACTCCAGTTTAGTCACCCTGTGACCCGGGACGACTGGCTCGGTGTCTACGGAGTGACCTTTTCCTGTTGCAGAAAAAGTTTTGCATCTTACGCCCGACTTTTTTCATTTTCTCTCCTCAGCTGACAACAAGACGAAGAAGAAAATCACCCATCGGGAAAGGAAGCAGGATTTCTCGGCCTTCAAGCCTACTGACAATGAAATGAAGGTTAAAATATCACCTCAGCTTCTGCTGGCTACCCTGCGTTTCCTAGCAACAGGCAAGTGGGCTGCGTTGCTGCTTGACTTCCCCCAGTGTGCCCTCAGCCCCTCACTGTGGGGAAAGTGTGTGTGTGTGTGTGTGTGTGTGTGTGTGTGTTTGTGAGCTGTTTGTGTGTACATGTGCCCGCACGGGCTTTGAGTTTTGGGCAAGTGGGTGTAGAGAGGAGGAGGAGGAGGAGCGAGTATGTGTGTAGAATGAGTATCTGTTGTGTATGTGTGTGAGGGAATGAGTTGTGTGAGGACTCACAACAAGCGTGTTGGTATGCATGTGTGTGTGTGTGTGTGTGTGTGAAGAGGTGGAAGGCCTCTCGTGAGCGCAGCACGGGATGTCTGCAGACTGCACGTAGATACCAAAAACGTGAGCGTTTATTTGCCTGCATGTCATGCACTGAAGGTTACATGTCGAGATCTTAACTCACAGCTTTAAAAACACCACCCTGTTTGCTTACACTCGTTCCTTAATGACATCACGTCCAGCATTGTTGGCCTATGATTGCAGTTCTCACAAGTCGACATACTTGTGTACTTACTAGTGTAAAATGTGAAGTATTTCACCCACTTTCCCTTGGGAAATGGATTTCAGAACAGGCAGCAGAATATCCAAGTACTACTACAGCAGCAGCAGCAGCAGCAGCAGCAGCAGCAGCGGTGGTTCACGATGCCTCATAGCAGTTGGATTTGCTTTAGAACTTTGACCTAGCAGCTAAGCATTGATTAAGTTCCTCTAAAGGCTATTAGCGAGTTTAGTTCCTGGTGGTGGAGCCAGCAGCCAGCTGACACATATCATCGCCGCTGAGTTGAAGGAGCTGATTGGCCCAATAGGAGGCTGAGGCAGACCAGTCACGATCAGGATACTTTGTTTAAAATTTTGAAAGAACTTTCTGGTTTGCTCACATGCAGTAGCAGTTTATAAAATACTGACAGCAGCACCAGGCTGGTAGTGTTTTAGATTTCTGTCATCTTTTAAAAAACAAAACACGCAAGTTTTTCTGTTGTTTTCATACCAAAGACATCGATCCTTAAAATGGTCACAATATATACCTTTGTGTTTTATCATTTGACACTAAAACAGCTGAACACTGTGCATTTGTCAGGGACTATTTTCAGAAATCATTTTGATATACTTGTGAGAGCTGACAGCAGCAGGACAGTGTCAGTCTAAAAATAAACTGTACTAAGGGTTTTGTTTCCCTTGATGAATCTATCGACTATTTTAAATAAATCAGTAGTTAATTTTTTTTCCCCAGAAAATCAAATCCACTATTCCATTTAAGTTGATTTTGTTTTTGAATTTTGAGCTTTATGAAAGTGTTTAGCTGCTACAGGGACAAGAGACGTTGCAAAGCTCTCACTATTAATGAATTGACAGCCGTTATGGTGGTTTTTGCCTTTTTCCACTGGTGCAACATCTAGAGTAGCTCGTTTGCATTAACTCTTCAGTTTTTCATGCATTGTGTTCTTATGTTCAAACTCCACACAGTTTTTGTTCTGTGATAAATTGAATGATTCCCTCACATTCAAAATTGTGGGTCTTTGGAAACTTTTACAATGAACCAAGTTGCTGCAGCTCCTATTTCCTAAAACTGATCAATGACTGGAACAAAAAACAACAATTAGGTAGTGATACTGACAAAAAACTTTTGCTAAAACAAAATTGGCCTTTTAAAAAGAAATTTTGAAATGGTATGTTGGCTGAAAATAGTGATGCTGACGCATTTACAGTGTTGACATCTTTGATTATGCTGATTGATTGTCACCAAGTGCAACACTGTGTCTCACTGATGTGCCTGAAGTAGATTTCGGACAAAAATTGGACGACTATGGCCCAGAGGAATAAGGGTCAGTTAATTCTAGAAAAGAACAAGTTCATGCAACGTGTGGTCTAGAAGGCAAAACTTTGGGGTCATAATTGTCCTGAGTAGCCACACTCAAATACAAAGTAAAAAAGGTGGCACTGTGGTGCGTAAATATGAGCATGATGGCTCACATTTTTGAATAGTCTCTCCTGGAAGATTTTCACAGTTGTTGTAGCAGGACGTTCAATCATTCTCACCACCTCACATCATCAGTTTTAGAAAGCTACAGAAACTGTTGGGCAAAGTCTCCTGTGTAGCTCCTGATGAAGCAAAAGTATTGTTTTTTACCAATAGATCTTTCTATGGAACTTGTCGACAATAAGAAGAAAGCGTAGAATATCATTTTGTCTATAAAATGTCTTATCACGTCTCAGCTGGTCAGTTTCTCCAACACTCTCTTTGTCTCTGTCTTTTCAGAGGTTGAGCCGTTTGCACCATTGCAGATGTCAGAAAAGATCCTACTTCGCTTGCTGAAGCACCCGAACGTCATCCAGGAGCTGAAATACGATGACAAGAACAAGCGAGCAGCAGAGCACTACCTCTTTCACAGGAACAAGCCCGTGGATTATTTCATTCTCATTCTGCAGGTGTGTAGACACGCTGAGGTGCAAAGGGAAGGATGCGTCAACAGTGAATTGGATGATTCATTCACTGGAATGAATAAAACAATTAATTTATGTCACTGACTAGAGAGCAGTACTTTACTAAGGGCTAACATGAAGAAAGTAATGGCCGCATTTGTATCAGTTTCTCTAAAATATAGAAAAAATAGAACAAAAAATAGAGATGCAGTATCTTTTTCCTCTTTTACAACTTAAATCCGGTGTTGTCACCACAGCTGCACAAACAAAACTACACTACATGATCACACTCAACACGCTGCCGTTAGCACGACAAGCTATTGTTTCCTTTCCTCTTTCAGTTTTTCACAGTCCAGTCGTTGATCTAGCAGAGCTATACTGCAGGGGTTTGTTCCCACAGTGGCCACTCAAGGTATGCGTGGTATGATTGTACTGCAGGGCACTTCGGATTAAAATAAGCAATAATACTATAGATAAACAGTTCATTAGTAATAAAAATGTCTGACTTCAGACATACAGCATTTCAATGCACGACAGCCACATTCCACAGCATTTATAGGGCTGAGCTAATTTACATTGCTAGTCCCTACATAGGCTTTTACAATGCATGGAACTTAGCAGTAAAACACGTGCAGAACAACACAAATGCAGAAAACTCAACAAGAAAAAAACTGTATACAAAGGCTCAAACGATGCTCAATTTACAGTGATACAAAAGAATACCATAAAACTAAGTCAAACCACATTATTACCAGATTATGACTGATCCAGTTTTATAAATAGTTTCCATTTGAGTTTCATATGATCCTGTTCAATTATGAAAAACGGAAAAACAAAAATCTGTCAAAATGAGAATAAATGAAACCACAAGTTCCCTTAGCACATTAGGAGCCAGGTACTTTAATAGTTTAGAATTTAATATGAATAATATGTAATGAAATTTTAAGAATTTAATGTATTTTCTATCTTAATAACATTGCAGTTGTGTGATTTTACCAGCGTCCTGTCTAAGTTTTTAATTTTTAGGATTATATATCATCACAAGACACCTGATTGTTGCAGATGCTTATAGTTAGCTTTATCGAGTTCCTGGAAGGTAGAAAACTTTTTCCAGTATTAAATTGTAAACAGGTGCTACTGAGTCCAAATATATTCAAATTTGCGCATCAATTTAACTTGTTTTTTAAATTTAAAGCCGGAATCTGAACTATTTGATGGTGAAACCTGTTCAGTACTTTGCCTACTAATCTTTAAATTTGACAAATTAACTTCTAACAAAGGCTGAGCCCCAAAGGAAAAGCAAACAGACAACTCTCTCAAAGCCGGAGTGCAGGACTTCTACATATAAATGAACGTCCGTTACATCCGAGCTCTTGCCAAACGAGTTCACACAGTGCGGATTACAGCCTGTCGGTGCCAGGAAAATCTCTGTGTCTTGCAGTGTAGTGGAGTTTTAAATGTAGTGTCTGTCGTGACGTTCCCACGCTGGTGCACTTTGCATGAACAAGCAGTGATTGGTTTAGCAGAACTGCAGTAATAGTGACTGAAAAGGTAACAGCAAGTTGGAATATGGTGGAAGTACTTGGGAAGCATCTAAGAAAAGTCCCTGATTATTTAAATAACAAAGAAACTTAGCGTTCAGAGGAAGGATTACGGTTTGAAAATTAATCAAATGATCAACGATGACAGTGACTGTGTAATTACTCTCACTGGCAGAAGGGGAAGGCAGAAGGGGAAGACAAAAGTTCTGCACTGTATGTTTAGCATTAAATGTTATATATGAATTTTCTGACTCCACTGCTGTGGACTGTAAGTGCTGCAACAGCTGGATAGAAACTGAGAAAATTGTTCTACTGCACATGTACGGTAATGTACAAAAGTCTTAAGTACTAGAAGCAAGGATGTTAAAAAATGATTCCTTTGACTGTTTTTTCCTATGAGCTTAATACAAAGTGCAGTAAAGTGAAAAGAAATCTAAATCTAATGAATATTTGGGTGCGAAGTGTTTTTTAGGCTGCTTTGCAAGGTCTTCTGTACATTCATGTAACTCCAGATTGACTCTATGATAATGAGGTCCAGCCTCTGTGGGAGACAGACCATCTCTTGCAGGGCTCCTTGTTCTTCTCATGGCTGTAGATAGTTCTTTATGACTTCAGCTGTATGTTTGGGATTGTCATCATGTGGCGCAATGAATTTGGGAAACTTATATGCCTCCCTAATGGTATCCTGCGATGGATAAAAATCTAACCATCTTACGTGCATATTTGCACAGCAGTGGAAATAAACATATCATCAACATACTGTACATCTGAAGACCTGCTCCAAAACTTATTCTGGCAAGTCATCTATATAACAACTGAAAGTAAGTGGGCCAAGAACAGAACCCTGTGGGATTCATGTATTACTGTAGATAACACGCTAATAACTAACACCTAATGTTTCTAACAACACACTGTTCAAACTTACAATTAAGGATTTTAATCCATTTGACACTAGTAGAAGAAGTTATATGTATTTATCTGTTAAGTTTAAAGCCCCTCCCCATACCAGATACCAGATGTTCATTAAACCCTTAAACCCTCATCGCCATTTATTTTGAGGTTTTTGCATGAAAGGACTCCTTTCCTTTCTTATAATGGCTTAGATGTTGCTACACCACTTTCTCTAGAATGTGCAGATCTATGAAGTCCCCTGCCTCTTTCTCAACTTTGTCCTCCCCACTCGCTGCAGCTCGAGTACACCAGCTCACCTACAACTGTGATCAAACACTGTAAAACTAGTCTACACAACAGCACGTTGTCATTTTGGAAATAATTCATCCACAAATTTAAGAATCAGAAACTGATTCTGAAGAACAATGATGACACAACAATCTCCATGCTGCTAGTTAAAGTGACTGTTTCCTTAAGTTTGTTAATTTGATGCCGGAATCTATGTTTCTGAGACTGTCATGAGTACACTGCAGCATCAAGGCGAAGGTGCTCAGCCATGACATCTTATTTCACTCATGACGCCTTACAGCATATAAAAAACATGACATGTTAACATAGTTGAAAACTTTGCTTTCACTAGAGGATCTCTTTAGAGATCCAGAAAAACTTAATCAAATAATAATTTAAGCTGTCCTATTGGACAGAGATGAAATCATGTAAATAAGTATTTCATTCTAGACAGTCCAATAACTGCTGAGTTGCATTTTATTTACTAAAACCTTTACAGGCATGGGGCAAATTGGTCTGTAGTTGCAAATTTGGATCATCTGCCCCTGATTTATTTTTAGGGTCCGAGGACCCCTACTTGTTTTTTAAAGGCATCTCTCGTTTGTTTTCATCCACTCGAAACCCTCCCATTGACTAAGGATAGTGACATGGTTCATGACATGGCTTTGAGGTTCGAGAAAATTAGTTTTTTTAATTCTTTATGTTATGCAAGGGAAAGAGGATCTATTAAAAGTACAGTTAGCACACAAGAAGTGAATGTCCTACAAGTATAAAGTGAATTATACCACACAATGAGTTTGTCCAAGTTTTCAAGTCAAATAACCAAATTTCTTACCACTGTACTGTACTTAAAAACAAAACAAGACAAACAACAACAAACAAGACAAACTGTATAACAGTTGTGTATTCCTAAGCAGATGAAATCAAGTGCTGCTGACGTCAGCTAGCCGTCCTCTACAGTCTACAACTGTCCTGAATGTCTGCTCTCTTTCTGATTTGCTCCAAAAGTCCCAAATAACTTCCTAAAGCAGAGAAAGTCTTCCCACTGTGAGGATACATAGAACACAGTTGTTTCTTTTTCCACATATATTCCCGACGTTCACATACTTTGTATATTTCCCCCTATCAGTCCGCTAAGTCAACATGTATATTAGCCTCAGATCAAATGAGGTCCAGGTTGGAGAAGTGCAGGGTCACTGCCCTGGAGACCAGGCTCAGGAGCAGATTGGGAGCTATTAAACTGTACGGATTTTCTACAAGTAGTAAAAAGGAGAGGAAAGAGGGAGGGCAGGGTGGATTTGTTCTAAACTCACAGGCAGGATGAATAAATATATCTGAGCAGGAAATGAATCAAAAGATTTCGAACAGGGTGAAAGTGGACTTGCAAAGCTGTAGCGGAAATCCAAGACAGAAAGACTGAAGGAGATATACTGTAACCGACACAATGACGCACCGACACTCGAAGATCCTTTCACAATTCAGATTGGAAGTAAAGTAGAAATGATATCTGTGTAATAATGAATAAGTAAATTGCAGTTTTTGGTGTAACCAAGCTGTGATATATATATATATATATTTCAAACAACAACAATGTGTTGAACACCTTCTCTTAATCTGGTTGTCACAGGGGAAGGTAGAGGTGGAGGCAGGAAAAGAGGGGATGAAGTTTGAAGCGGGACCGTTTTCCTTCTATGGGATGATGGCTCTGACAGCCTCGCCAGGTAAGATCTCTTGGTCCTAACTTTAAGGATAAGTCGCTTTATTTGAATGTTTGCCTAAATCAGTTAAACATGAAGAAAATCCACTGTTGGTCATTGAGTTTTATATTAAAATGCAGCTTTATGTGTGCCATTCAGACTGAGATCTATTGTATCTCATTTCCTGTAAATATAAGTTGCAAACAGGGCTGATTATAAAAACATTTATGCTTTTGTGTCCATAACAGTTCATCATCAACAAAACTGACTGCTTGCCTTTTTTTGTACTCTTTTGTTTTAACTTTGAACAGATCATATCTGATTGAAATGATAATTTTGCCAATATCAGACTTTCCTCCTTGTATTTAGAACATACACTTTATATAAAAGATGGATGTAACCTCCAGGTCTGAAAAGTGAAACCAACGCTGAAATGTCTTAAACTTGCATTCCTTATAACAGCCAGTAGGGGTCGACTCCTCTTGGTTGTATAAATAAGTAGATGTACAGAAGTATATGAGAAAATAAACCAACTTGTTTCTTGAGCTGTAACCTCAGTAAATATTTTCCAACAAGTTTATGGTCTGAATTGCTAATTTCAAGACTTTTTGAATACAATATGGTGTTCATTTTGAGTTAATTTAGAGTAAAATAGACAGATAACGATGGGTCTTAGTCATAGCAAAGCCTGACTTATAAGGCCTGGTTTTAAAAAAAAACAAACAAACTCGAGGCTTCAGAGCAGTAGTCCACAAATCGAAGGGTGACATCACTGTAACTACGTCCATCTTTTGTATGCATTCTATGATTTAGATAATTTATTCCCAAACCCGGGTACAAGTATGTTGGGGGGCTCCGTTGAAGTAGTCAGGAGGTAGACGTAAAGATTGGTTCCACTCATGTAAAAAAAACATCAATTAAATAATTGAGTCTCGCTGAAAGGATTGAGCAAAAAACTTAACAGTTAAAAATAATGGATAACCACTGGCATAGACAGTGAAAGGGGTGCAAGAATAGTTAGAATAGATAAATAATAGTGAAAAAATGAATATATGGTTAACATAGCTCCTGAAAAAAACTAACAGTTGAAATTATTAGCTAATAGCATGGATAAACAGTTAGAATGCTAACTTTAAGCAATAACAGTTGAAATTATTTGCTAATAGCATGGATAAACAGAATGCTAGCTTAAAGCATTACAGTTGGAAATTCTTAGCTAATAGCATGGAGAAGCAGTTAAAATACTAGCTTAAAGCAATAACAGTTGGAAATTTTTAGCTAAAAGTATAGCTAGTAGTTGAAATAGTCAGCTAAGAGCATGAAATAACAGTTAAAAGCTGAAACTAATGGATAGATGTTAAAACATACAATACAACCTTAGTTATTGTACACATAACACTTTTGGGTTATTTTAATGTTGCAGTTTTACCATACTAATTTATGGTGCTTATTAGAATGTGCATTGTTATTTTAGGACTTGTCACAGTTGAGCTTATTATATATTTAATGAATTCATGATTAATTGCAGCTGTTATTATTTTATATGCGTGTAACATTCAAGTAGGTTATTTTTCCAAATCTCTTGTCTCAGAGTAGTTTTGGTTCCTACCTGCTCTTGTTTCCAGGGGGACAGACAAGTGTCTCCAAATAACATGTGCTACAGAAATTAAAGTGCAAACTGTTCTGCCGGGTTGATTAAAGAACATTATTCAAACTGTAGTCAACTACAGACCGGAATATCACAGTTACAGTAACTTAAGCTTATACCCAGACTTACCTAAACAATCACAGTTCAACTGGATGACAAACATTCTAACAATATACATTTTTATATTGTAGGATGTTTTAGAAAATCCTATTTAAAATGAGTGTTAATGAGCACATTTCAACATGAGAGGTGGTTTTATAAAGAGGTTTTCAGTCTGTCTGACATTCAGATGAAACTGGCTGGGAATCACTGAGTTAGACAATACTTAACTTTAAAAAAAAAAAAAAAAAAAACCTCACTTGAAAACACTTCAAGTATTGAAAAAGTATTGTTTCTGTGCCAGGAACAAAACTCTAACCACTTCTCACTTGTAGTCACAACACAAACATTCTCACTGTACTTACAGTAAAGAGTCAACACAACACCATGAACAGACATCAGGAGAAAACGTCACCTAGTGATTCACGCATTCTTCTCAGTTCATTCATAAACTACACTAGTGTTTCTCAACTATTGTGATTCATTTCGGGGGTGGGATCTGAGAGACACCTACTGGTGAGGTAGTAGAATAACATTCCTGATCTGTTCATGAAGGTTCTAAGCAGTCAGAAGTTAAATCAAATACTACATGATGGTGTATCAGAGATCCTCTTTAGCTGCTTTATAGAAAATCATCTGTTTGACACTTCTCTGACAAATGTATCATTTGTATATATATGCCATGATTATTTCTTGACTTTGACACTCTCCTCCTCCTTCTTTTGTTCTTCTCTTGTATCTCCTCTCTCGTTAGTGCCTCTGTCCCTGTCTCGTACATTTGCTGTCAGTAGGGCTGAATCGTTAGCAGGATCTCCAGGTAAAATGGCCTCTTCTGTCTCTACATACATCCAATTTATCACTAAAATGTGTTGTTAAAATAATATATTGTACAGTTTAACCTACTGTCTGTGCATTAGTAGGGTTTAACATGTTGATTCTCATAGTCTCCTTGAGCAAGTAAGTGTTATCAGGTGCACGTCTCAGGAAGTCTGTTTGTCCTTGAATGCGACATGTACTGTAAACTTCAGTGTGTGTAAGTGAAAGACAAAGAACGAGGAAAACAGATTCAAATGGAGACTTAACACCCTCATCCCCTGAGCCATTAGTCAAGTGGCTGAATGTTGTTGGAGACTGGAGGCCCCAGTGCAGAACCAGGCTCCGCCCCGCTCGCCCCTAACCTTTAACCCGCCGACTACATAAACAAGACCTACAGCTACAGCCCCCTGCCGGACACCACTAAGCGCACATACAAAGACATGCACGGATACATATGTTCACATGCACAGACCCATGTCTGCAGAGCGCGCACACTCTGCACATAACTGACAAAACCACAAGTATCTGGAAATGCTGTTGTTCAAATACACTTTCTTTTTTGTCTTTAGCAGTGACCTGCAGTGCACCTCTTCATGTGTTTTTTTGTCACACAGCTTGGTGCCGTGCTGCACACACCTTCCAGTGTGTGTATGCGTCTACATAAATGTGTAATGTGTGTTTTCTGGACACAACACATTGCCTTTTTTTGTGTGTTGACCTGGCCCCTGCGGCCCCTAGAAAGTGGAGTACTAATCCACAAGAGTTCACATGCCAGGTCTTTGGCCCACTGTGCTCCGTCTGCCCACCCACACACACACACACACACACACACATACAGTCGCACGATCACACACATACACACTCTCGCACAAACACATGCACTGTTACTGCATTTCACTCCCCCTCTCTCTCTGTCTTACACACACACACACACACACACACAGACACATATTCCAACATGGGATTACATACATTCCAGTCAACGTAGTAGCATTAGCGTTGGCCAAGCCGTTTCCACTTTGTTGTGTGTGATTTTCACTAGGCTTCTTTAAGAAGTGGAAAACATAATCTGGCTTTAATTAAAAATTCCCCCCCCCCCCCCCACCACCACCACCACCACCACCACCAATACAAGTCCTCTATGAGGTAGCACATAGAAGGAAGCAGTATCACTAGAGACCACCGACTCACTACCTGCTGTATGAAATTCCCCTCACTAAAAGCTTTATGTAGAAATTAGATTTCCATACATCACAGCAAGCGTCTGTGCTAATATCTTACACTTGACCTGGAAAAATGTCACCAATACAGAAGATCTTAACTGCTGCTGAGCAGCTCAAATAGTTGTTGAGAAAATTCAGAGTGAGTCATTGTTCTAACAGTACAAACGTAAAAAATATTTACAGTATTCTAAAAAACATATTCACCCCTTTGGAAGTGTTACCATTTTCTTACTTTTTTACACTGAATCATGGTCAATATAATTTGTCTTTTTTGACAAAAATTAACAAAAAACACTCCTTCACATCAAAGCTAATACTGATTTCTACAAAGTAGTTTCCATTAATTAGAAATATAAAACGTAAATAAAGTGATTGCACAAGTGTTCAAACCTATTAAGATGTATTTAGTAGATGCTCTGGGCTCTGACTGGGCCAAACCATTTCTGTGTAGTTTTGGCTGCAGCTTGCAGACTGCATCAGGTTGTCCTCCAGGATGTCCCTATACTTCACTGCATTCATTTTACCCTCTACCTCTACAAGCCTTCCAGGGCCTGCTGCTGAGAAGCATCCCCACATTATGATACTGCCACCACCATGCTTCACGGTGGAGATGGTGGGTTTGTGATGATGTGCTGCATTAATTTTGTTCTTGTAAAGAATTAGTTTTTATTAAACTCTCCACTCTGTGGTTTACCTAGTGTGACATAACAATACATCTAATTTGTCTTATTTACCCCTCCAAGTATTTACAGCATATAGATGAAAACGTAAACCAACTGAGCAAGTGTAAAGATTCCCAAATTAGAAATTTCAGCCCCTCAAGAGAGTCTCTAAATGACTGGATATTTCAATACGCTTATGTTGCATCTCAACACATTTCCTGGCCTTTGCTCTCAGTTCTCCCTCGCAGAAATAACTTGGATAAATGTCGGTAGAAAGTGTGACAGATTTTACGCCACAGAGATTAGAACTGTATACTCATTGTCGACACTTATCTAGATGTTAACATCTTGTCCCGCTCTTTCACCTCCTTACAGAGAATAAATCTCCTCCACGGCCGTTTGGACTGAACCACTCAGACTCTCTGAACAGGAGTGATCGTATAGACGCCATCACTCCGACTCTGGGCAGCAGCAACAACCAGCTCAACTCCTTCCTGCATATCTACATGCCAGATTACTCCGTCAGAGCACGCTCAGACTTGCAATATATAAAGGTGAGAACACACACAGGTGAGCAGAAAATACAAGGTGCTGAGGCTCATGTGTATATTCATAGGCTTAAATGTTATGTGTTGTATGCTACACACCTCTGTTTTACATGCAAAATTCATAATGTGAAAAGTGTAGCTTGTAAACGGTAAATAATTAACATCTGATTCTACAGTTCATTTCAGGCCTACAGACTGTTTTAGTCTCTTTTAGTTTGTTTTCGTTTTACCACCCTCAGCTTTGATGTTTTGGTTTACTCTTATTGACAGCACAAACTGTGCATCATGTTGCCACTGAAATCTAAATGCATTCGGTTGGTTATGCAGAAAATGCATAAATATGTTTCTATGCTTGGTTTTGATTTGCTGCCATTTTATAGTGGTGGTACTGCAGCTCATCAAACACTTGGATACTAGCGATGTATTAGCATTGAGCACAGAGAATTTTCAGTCATCAAACATTAATTTCACTTTGATTTGGCTAAAAACTTGAATGATTTCTACATATCCTGCATTCTAAGATGATGTCAGACCTAAATGCACTTTTTGAATATCATGGTTAAATGAACTCTACAATTCTAGAATTTCATTTAGCAGACACTTTTATCCAAAACGACGTACATCTGAGAGCAGATACAACACAAGCAAGGATCTAGTCAGGAAAAAACAATCTAGATAAGTGACATAGAACAAATTCAAGTGTGATAGGGCATTGATGCCAATAGCAGGCTGTGTGGGAGTCAATAGGATTTTTGTTTGGTTGTTTGTATGTTTTCGGTCTGTCAACTTGTGCAAAGGTGTTCAGTGAAGAGCTGGGTCTTTATGAATGAAGTTCAAAGTTCTCTAAAAGCCAGCTGTCAAGTTAGAAATACAGTAAACCGCTGCACCGTGTCAAGTTAGAAATACAGTAAACCGCTGCACCGAGTGGTGAATTAAACAGGTTAACCAAATGACATGTTAAACATTACCACAGAGGCTGGTGAAGAAAATCTGGGAAACAAAGAAAGTTTAAAGCCATACTCTGATTGGGATTTTAGGTTTGTTAAGCCTGCTAATGTGAAGAAAGCCTGTATATGTCAAACTTGCTTTGTGGTGCACCCTTCAGAAGTTTTAGGTAGTGATTTTCAGAAAGAAAGAAAAAAAAAAAAACTCTGTATTTTACCTACACATCACCAAAGAGCAACATTTGTCGGGTCACCAGAAACACAAAGGCAGTTTTATGTCAAAAATTACTGTATTGCTGTTGTAGCAGTTTTATATGTTGTTTTCACTGAATAACTTCACTACTTCCTTGATACCCTGTGTATGAGCCTTGTTGTGGGAAAAGGGAGCTTGAATTGACTAAAAAATGATGCGGTTGAGTTATTTTGCATGCAGAAACAATGAAGTAGGAATTAATCTCATGAGAATCAGTCAATCTCTCTTTTTATTGTCCAACTATTTGCTTTATAATTTGATTTATGTATTGTTAGAATCTTTATTCATTACTAAGAACTTTTATTATGTCCTTTTTATTGTCCCAGATACCTAACTGATATAAAACATCAAAAGGTGATAATAAAACATCAGTTGTGTAATTGCTTTAGGACCAATTAAAAGTTTTTTCTGTCCTTTCTGTAGAACTGAAACATATAATGGATGCTAGCATCTCTTTTCGTGACAGGAATACATTGATGACTTCAGTTAACTAATGCTACTACTGCTAAACTAATTGTTCAGATCTTTACTGTTTTATTGTCATTCTTCTTAACCTATGCGCAAAGGTTGTCAAAAAGTCCATCCATGTCGATGTGCCAGAATGTACACTGGTTTTATTAAGTATTTGGACCAAACAACGGTTCACAGACTTTCTAGCAGTTGCAGTCAATCAAACAACCCGTTATTGTGATATTTAACTTGAAACCATCTCCACCGTTTCCTAGGTAACACGCCAGCAGTACCAGAACGCCGTGATGGCATCGCGGATGGACAAGACTCCCCAGTCGACGGACAGCGAGTTCACCAAGATCGAGCTCACGCTGACAGAGCTCCACGACGGCGTGGAGACCCCAGCCGTCGTCACCACCACAGCCGGCACCACAAGTACCAATCCCACCGTGGCCATCGCTGTGGCCAATGAGACGTCCCACCTGCTCAACCAGCAGCAGAACTGTGTGGGCCTGAGCCGGAGCAACCACAGCACCCACAACGAGGGACCCATCTAGCCCCCGCCACGCCCAGGTGGAGACCCAGTTCCTCCACCCTGTCTCGTGGACGCACACGGCATAGATGGAGATGAGGGAAAAGTGGGGAAGCAGAGGCAGGTGGAGTGAGGGTCCTGCTCCAACCTGTAGCCCCCCAGTCAGTCAGCGAGATCCTTTCACGGAGGGGCAGTGGGGGGGAACGACGGGTGCTGCGTCACCCCGAAAACACCCCCCACCTGAACGCTGTCAGAATCCCTGCTGTACTCCACCCTCTGATGGAGGGTGCACTCGGACAGTACCTGTGACTGAGCTTCTATTTTTTTGGGACAATCTGATACTTTCATAGTGGTGACTTGGACTCGAGGACGACAGAGTGCATGCACACACAGACACACAACATAACACAACAATCGCTGTACTTTCTCCTCAGGCCAAAGACTTTGGTCCCCCTCCCCCCTCCTCTCTTTTTACACTGTATTTGCACACAAAACACACAATCAAATTCACACACACAGAAACAAATGCGACTCCCCCACCGGCGCATCTATCAGGGAGGCTCAGTCGACTGTTGATCCCATCAGCAAGGACTCAAACCCAAACACGCAGAGAGCAACGGTTGGTCAAAGACTGCACCAAAAACCGCTTTGAAAGAAACCGTTAAAAAACCACGAACCAAGAATGTTTTCCTGTATTTATTTATTTTATAATATTGTATGTATATATGTATGCGTGGGGACATGATATGACATAAACTGGCAGACGAGCATGCATGAGTGTCATATCAAAAAGAAACATGCTACATATATGGGGATGAACATCCATTCATGTATATGAGGAGGTGAGGGTCTTTTACAGATACAGTATGTATATTACAGATCTTGTTATTTTTACTATTATCTTAAAATCAGGCTTATGGTACACTATCTTTTTCACCTTTTAAAAAAAAAAAAAATCACACTATTGCCTTTAAAGAGAAATCATATAATTAAATATTTTAACAAAGTGCAATGAACGGAAATTTATTTAAGAGATGATTATGAATTTAAGAAAAAAAAAATTCGCTGTATTATAAATTGACGGATATATTTGTATGTATGTACTGTATGTATATGTATATTTGTTTTTGAAAAATGCTAAAACTGCAGCCATCCACAAGCAAAAACTGTCCTTAGTCAGTCTCGCTTTCTCCTTTTGTCTCTTTCATGTTTTCGCATCCTTTGACCTCAAACGCGTCTTCTAGTTGTTCACATGGGAGTCATGATGCCTTAACTTGTCACCGCAGCGTAGTTCGGGGGGGGGGGGGGGTATGTGTGCGTGAAACACGGCATCTATGCATGTGGAGGTAATGTGTCTTTTATTTTTGTCAATTTTACGTATAATCAAACTTGATAATTGCACAGTATTAATGACCTCATCTAACATGTTGAGCATCATCAACGTCACAAAAAGCAACCTCGACATTAAACGTGTCCATGAATGATACACAGCTATGTTTTTTTTTCCCACTGTTTATGTTTGTGAATATTTTTTTTTCTTCTCCTTCTTCTTTTCGTGCATGTGTGTAGAACATAGCCTGGTCATTCAGCTCATGCAGGCTGTTTTTTTGTTGTTGTTGTTGTTTTTTTGGAAGAGACTTGTACTTGTTTTGGCTCCCGTCATATTGTAGATTATAAACTATGCTTAATAATTCTTGAGTTAATTCAGATCAGAATCTAAAATATTCTTCTCAAATGGTGGCTGCTATTAAAGAGAGATATTTATACTGTTTTTCTTCTATCCCAGACGCCCTGTAGCCATATGTGTTTATTTCACAATTTTAAGAACGTACATTTAAAGGTATACTTTGCAGGAATAGTCAATCACTGTAAGTGAACACAGCGTTTAAACTTGAACCTTCCCTCCTGTTATTGGCACTCGCTGCTTGAACATTGAAGACATGGACTGTATAAGGTAAAGATCGTTGAGCCCTTAGGGACATCACAGTCGTAGCCGTCTTGGCATCACCTGCCTGCATCCATACTAATTTGTGGCTAATCCAAAAATTAGCAAAGAGTTGGAACATTTAATAACAGAATTTTACTATCAGAAACTGACATTATTGACTTCAACAAATGTCATTTTGACTAGCAGTACTTACACTATGACTAATCGTCCTTCTGACTAGTCAAAATGCCATTTAGACATATCTGTTTTTCAATTTTGTTTTTAATGTAATTCAGTAAAAATAATAGTTGCAGATGTCAAATGTCAAAATCAAATGTCATTATCATGTGAGGCTTCACGGCAGATATTGCCCACCATTGCTGTGGTGAATAAAATTGGTAGAAAATGACATGAAATAGGAAGATCTTATGAACAAGGAGTTAGTGACTAAGAAGAGCTTTTGTTTATTTGAGATTTATGGTCAAAGTTAACCAGGAGGCTGCTCTTACGTGGTGGTTAAACAGCCTGTCATATGCACGTATGGTTGCAGTGCTGTAGTATGTTTGAAAAGCAGGTTGCTTTTGCTGATGTTTCTGGCGTTAACTTCACATATCTGCAGTGCCATGTTACATAATGAAAACTTAAATTCAGGGTATCCAAAATTGTATTTTGACTAGGAATTTTGGTTTAAACTTAACTGAAGATATCCAAAAAGGATGATGTAGATATCTTGAATTTAGGGGAATTAAAGAGCTCTTGAGCTGGAATTATGACCAGACATCAGAATTCAGTTGCAGATATCTGGAATATGAAACCCAGTGCACATGAATGGTAAACGTGATCCCAGGACCTATGGGGATGTGGACATCTGAAATGGGAATTGTTGATAGGAAGAATTATATTGTGTCTTAAATGTTTTTTATTTTGACTAGAAAGACTTTTTAATAATGGGTATGTGCAATCCATATCCAGTCCAGCTATTAAATGTCTTTCCATTGAGGTGGGCCATGCAAAAGTCTCTGGGCTACAGACTTTACTCTGATGGCATTTGTTACTCAAAGTGGCCATGGCATTTATTTTGCAAAATGTGAAGCCTTAATACAATTCAAATGGGAGAGTTATATAAACATTCACCACCTGTACAGCTGTCATGAGTGGGCAAATAAGCTACACTGCCCAACACCATTTTTTAATCAGGTTTTATACACTTTCAATTCTGCAGTAAAGTTGGGCAATTTAACACGAAGGCTCTCTGTGGCCAATCAAGGAGCTGCAGATTTTGACACTTATGTGCGGCCTTCGTATTTTAGCCCAGATGTTGCCACTTGGGTGCAGTCCAGAAATGCCACTTTGCAAAGTAATTGGAAACTACAGTTAGAAGGCAGGATCTCTGTAGATAAATATACAGCCACACAGTCCTAGTCAATCATAAATGATGATTTAGAGGGAATACTTTTGTATGATGGCATTTTTTGTTGTTGTTGTTGTTTTTAAATCCTGCATGGTATACCTTTAAATAATAGTTTATGGAATACATTTACTCGCTTTCCTGTTGAGTAAAAGAGATTTCTACCACTCCCACCAATACAAAAAACACATTTCTCCAGAACATACCTTGTCTTTTTTTTTTTTTTTTTACACATAAATTAATTTGCATTTGCCTTAAGGCAAATGAGAATGGCATCTGTCTTCTCATCTAACTCTGTGCTTAACCATTCCCTGAAGTGCTTTTATTGTCTTTAGTAGAGTCTTGCCCTTATTATTTTACCTCATAAAGACAGGAATGAGTTTTAAGATGCTGGAAATTCTTCCTGAAATCACGCGAGTCTTAGAGTAGAATAATTCTGCTTGCTTCATATCTATAGAGGGTGTAAATTTTAAAATTATTTTGATGCCACCTCCTGGCCTGTTCATTAACATGATATGTACTGTGTACTGGCAGGTTGTTTGCTGCTTTACAGGCAGCATCAAAGTGTCCTAAAGCTGAATCTGTCTTTTAACCGTCAGTTGCAGATTGTAACCACTGGTGGTAGCTGTTTCCTCATGTTTTTTTCACTGTGTGAGTGCGTTCAACTGCACACACGGACAAACAGCTCTTCCATCTGTGCAGCCACGAGGGGCGTCCCAGTTGTGTAACCACACATAGAGTATGTCTGCTTTGTTTGCAGCTCTGTTGGCTGTTGTTTATTGTTTACTTGAAAGTGCTCCTATGCAGCAGGCCCTGCTCTGCTCTGCTCTGCAGGGACAATCACTCCGGACAGACAAGCAAGGATTCAGATTCTAAGATTGTGACATTCAAACTCTGCTTTACAAGCCTGCAAATCTCAGTGCCTGATGGGAGGAACGAGAATTCAAAAAAATGAAGCGCACAACAGGAAACACTGGGGGAAGCATCAGCTGTGACGGCATCGTTTTAATATTCTGTGATACAGAAACACACACACATACTGTCTTCTTCCCTCCGTCATCCTTCGATCATGTGAATGCTTTGCAGGCCTGTGTTTAACTGGTCTTTTGTCCATCCCAATGCTGCTACTGAACCCATGTGCTGTTCATAGTGCTTCTTCTACCTGAATACAACGTTCCCTTTGCCTCCTCCAGTTGGTGGTTTAATAAAAAAGTGAATGATTAACAGACAAGACAGATGGTGGCTCTGTGTAATAAATGTAAAGCTCTGCTGTTTCCATATCCTTTCTTATGACTTGGTTTGTGTGCTTAGACTTTCTCTGATAGATGCACACTTTTATAAGCAATTACAGCAAGACCATGTACATTTTGAATCCAGAATTAAAGTAATGTTCTATTTACAAATTTAAAGTCGGGTGCATCAGCAATAGAAAGAAAAAAACACATCTTAATTTGTTGTCTGTATGTGATCCAATGTAAGACAAGACAAGCCCTTAACTAATTAATACTTCAGTGTGGAAATTTGCAGTGTTACAGCAACAAAGAGGATCATGCAAACATTTTAGAAATATCAGTAGAAAAGTAAGAAATATACTGCTGAAATTGTACAGATTCTTCCTCATGTAGAAATTCAAGATGTTGCATAGATTCCTCTAAATGTGGGAAATACCAATATGGCACAGGATCGTTCTATATATAGAAAAACACTGATATGGTATGACCAGTAATGACATATTATATTTTTGTACTTTCACATGCTTGATTTTAGCAGCCACTCTTACTGACAGTAGCTGTAGCAGCTGCTTGTGTTTTCGGCTTAATTGTCATAATCTTGCTTTAAAGAGCCTGTCGCCGGTAAAAATCTAGTCACATGTAATGTTTTTTGTATGCTGATATCATGTGCAAAATAAGCAGTCAACACAGTGGCTGAGCATTTACCACCTTGAAAGTGCAGATTATTGATGACAAGCTCAAAAATATGGATTCAGACCTTTGGCTTTGTGTAACAAACCTTAACAACCAATCCTGTCAGTTTGCAGGGTCGGATTTTCTGTATTGTTATTATTCTACAGAATCGGTTGCCGGTGCAAACATGCAGAGCTAAATTACTACAATATTACAGCTTATTTTGCAGCACAGACTACTTTTACAGTGTTTAAAGAGAGTTGTAGGTGAGCTGGTGTGCTCAAGTAGCAAAGAAGTGGGTGGAGAAAGGTGGGACCTTTATATGTACATTCTAGAGAAGGTAATGGTGTAGTTTGTGTCCTTTAAAGGCAGGATGCAACTTTTTTTCTAGGAATATATCTTTGATTGTGGAACTTTAATTCACAGCAAATAGTTTTTAGGAGTATAATCAGTGATCAGAGAGGAACTTTTAGAGGTTTCAGACATCCCAAAGGCTATAAATAAAATATTTTAATGCCATTCATTATTGATACCACCATTTCGATCCAACATGCATAATTAAGGATGAAAAAATGTTGTGTACATTTTCAGTATTTGACGGTCATCATTAATTGAGCAGAGCAACTCTGCTGAGACAAAATGCTGAGTCAGGAAGCCCTCCTGCAGCACACACACTCCTGTACTGTAAGTTTTGGACCACTCCTAACACAGTAACGTCATTGTTGAGCTGTGCAGCATCAGTCCTTGAGCTTACAGAGTGGCTGGAAACCAACATGTTTGCTTGTCATGTGCTTGTTTGCTGTCAGTCGTTACAGAAGACAGTGAAAACATGAACCCGCTTTTAACTGTTTCCCCCCCCAAGGCTTCCACTTTGTAAATAGTTTGTGGTAAGCACCGATTTAATTCAAATCAGTTCCATTTATAAAGTGCCAAGTCACAAGATGAAGCCATGTCAGGACACTTTACATGGTGAAGTCAAGATTTTATGATTTGAATGGACCTTTGTTGGGTGACTACGCAAAACAGTAAGCATGATAGGACCTCGTACAGTAAAGAGAATGAGTCTATTATCTTATCTGACAGAAATGTATCAATTTCTCTTCATTTTATGGCCATAAACAAAATGTCTGACATAAAGAAAGTTTCACTCCTTTGATTTTTATTGCTTTTCAACATCAAGCCATGGATGAGACAATCTGACTTTTTTTTTGACAAGAATTGCACTTCCCCCCCTTAAAAAAAGTGAAAACAGATGTCTACAAAGTAATGTTAATTAATTAAAAATTAAAAACTTTTAAAAAGTGATTGTGTAAATGTTCACTCCCTGCGAGTCAATAAATAGTTAATGCCGCTTTGGTCACTATTACAGCATTCAGCCTGTGTGAATAGGTCTCAATCAGCCCTACTACTCTGGATGTTGAAGTTTTACTCCATTGTTCTTTGCAAAACCACAGGGCTCTTGAGACCAGCCACAAATTCTCATTTGGCTGTAGGTCTGGGCTCTGACTTACACACTCCACAACATCTACCTTGTTGTCTTTAAACCATTTCTGGCTGTATGCTTTGAGTCATTATCTTGCTTGAAAAGAAATCTTTTTCCCAGTCTCAGTTCTGTTTTTATGCTACATCAGGTTCTCCTCCTGGATTTCCCTACACACTTTACTTCATTCATTTAACCCTCTACCATTACAAGCCATCCAGGGCCTCTTGCTGAGAAGCAGTCCCAAATCATGATGCTGCCACCACCATGCTTCACAGAGGGGATGGTGTTTGTGTTGATGTGCTGTTTTTGGTGTCCTTTACAAAGCATCTAGTCCTCAATTTTGGTCTCATCAGACCAAAAAACCTTCTTCAAGTTGACTTCATACTCTACCACATACCTTCTGATGAACTGTAATTTAGATTTAATAAGAGCTTTTCGCGACAATGGTGTTGTCTTTTGCCACTCTCCCATTAGGCTTTGACTGGTGAGGAACCATTTGATGTCAATTTAACTATTTGTGCGAATTTTAGCATCAATTTGCTGCTTCTGTATTGAATTAGGTGAGTCACTTTAAAAGGGGTGAATACTTATGCAATCACTTAACTAAAACCTCTTTGGGGACCTTAAAATAACTCTATGCAGGCAAAAATCCCTGTTATACAGACAAACTGCACCCAATGTCCTGAAATAAATGCCATAAAATCAGGTGTTAACTCAGGCCTGTCAACAGGAAGGGGCTTCAAAATTAGTTTAGTATTATTATTAATGTTATTATTAATAACAACAATAATGATAATAATAATAATGCTTGTGTCTCATCATGGAATCTATTATTTGAGTTTATATTGGGTGTTTTTAGTGCTTCATCCATTAGTAATTTTAAATAAACAACTACCTGCCTCCAGGGTCCTTCAGTCCAATACGAAAAAAAGAACAACAATGTATTACAAACTATCTTTATTCTACATTCTTATGTAATTTACCTCAATGTACACTCTGAAGGATAATTTCTGGAAACAAACAAACAAAACACTGTTCAGAAGAACATGAATTGATATGCATAAAAACAAGAGATTATTATAGTTTAGAAAATAAAAGGTGGCTGACTTGGCGCCCATTAATGCGGATGCATTCTGGGCATTGCAACGATGGATAAGAATCATCTCAAGCACTGTAACCTGATCCCCAGGCTTTAGTTAGTTCAAAGTCGGAGTGACAGACTCCTGTGGTGCTGTATAAAAATTAACAAAAAATTACTTGGAAAAAGAAAAAAGAAAAAAAAAAAGGATAAGAAAAGGAAATGGAAAGGTCTATTTACAGTTCTGTAAACCAAGACCATTTAAAAACAGTAGCTTAGAAAAATAATAAACCCATGGTGTTGATCACAAGTAACATATTAGTTATGGTACTTAACATGCTATTCACATTTCCCTTCATTTTAAGATATCTAGATTTTTTTTAATACAGGTTTGCAGTTTTTTTTTCTTTTTCTCTGTGTGTAAACTACACTGACAAATGTCAAAACAAAGCTTTTCCTAAAAATGATGCAGTCCACATAGAAGTAAAACCGATGCTACCATAACCATGGCGGTAGAATGGATAATTATTTTCACATGCATATGCAAATTATGCAGAAAGTCAACAATTACCCAGTAGCAATGCAGCTGCCTCATGTAGCATAACCAGTTATTCTACATCCAAGAAACAAAAGTCAGAATAGAGGATACAAATATTGGTAAAAAAAAAAAAAAAGAACAAAAAGAAAAAGGAAAAAAAAAAGACATGACAAACAGCTGATATATGTTTCCTATTATCAGACAAGGTTTCAGCCACATAAAGCTGCATTTGAACTCATCCACCTCTCTCCACTCCACATCAAACCAAACCATAAGTGATGCAAAAGGAGACGACATGTTTCTTCCCTTTTCTGGCCTAAATCAACAGGCCGATCCAACACTTACAAGACGTACAACACGTCGAGACTTAACACGTGAGGAGGGTTAATGCACAAGACACAGTGGATGTTGAAAATAGGGGGGGAAAAAACAAGTAACTGAAATTCAAGCAGCTTTTCTTGATCTGAACACTGACACTAGAGATATCTGTGTTAAAGACTGAACACTTATTTTCTCCATCAGCTTCTCAGTCAGTGATGGAGTCTGACATGAACACGCTGCTTCCTCTGTGATTTAAGGTGAGCTTTTGTTTTTCTATAGACTCTTCCTCCTGGTTTAAGGTGGGAGGGGTTCACCTGGGTAAGTGACGTCACATATTTCTTGCACTGATCACATTTTAGTGACATAGAAATCATAATCTTATGCCTGTCAGTAAAGACACTTATTTTTACACACAAACTGAAAATTTGCAGAGAAAATGTGAACAGAAATGTACTCGTCCAAATTGTTGAGATTTAAAGACTTAATACCTTTTTATGTTTGTTTAACTATGATGCTTTTTTTTTTCAATTGATGAATATGAAATGTTTTTAAAGAAAAACTTAACATTAAAATTAAACTTACTTGAATTTTCTTGCAAAGCTTAAAGCAAATCCAGAGCCAAGAGCTTAAAGTGGCAACAGAAAAGTCTAGCAACTACAGAAAACACTAAAACGGGGGAAATCACTTAGGAAAGAGGAGAGAAGTAAGAAACTTACGGTTTGTTTTTCTAGCATTGCCAACCTGACTACAGTCCAAAGCACAAAACAAACGGAAGAGTTCCTATTTGAAATCGAAACCCTGATCTCAGATATAAACTGAATAAAAGACATAGTTGTATTATTAAGTATGCAGTTCATTTAACTTACTGATTTTGAATTTGAATACTGAGTTTTGAACTGTTTGAAGTCACAGAGCTCTCTGAGTTGCCAGACATGAGCAACACAGTCAAAGCATATAGGGTAACATGATGAGAAAGTAGTATCTCCCTCTTGTACACATACAGCATGCAACAGTATGTGCTTTGTAAAGGAATGTGCAGTACACGCTGGAAGGAAAAAAGGAAGAAAGTATTTGATTTGAATCGCAGCCTGGATCAGCCCTAGCCTGAATAACCAATCCCCTGAACTCTCCCAACCCTAACCACCAATCCCAGCAGAGCATTTCTCCAGCTGATATAATTTGGCATTGAGCCTTCACTGTCCTGGGAGACTTCAAATTCGGCGGCAGGCAGAATCACACAGTGGGGGAACCAGTATAAAAATTATTCTACAACCATTACATTGTGTAGTCAACATTGAAGTTAAAGCAAAAACCACTTGTCTATAGCCACTTTAAACTCTGAGCTCTTCATCCAGTTCTTAACTTGCAACAAAGCTAGAACCCAAACCACAATAATGATGGCAACTTCACAGTGTCAAAAGGCCCAACAGATGATATACTTCACTCTCTGTCAGCATGTTTCCCCTTATAAACAAAAAACACCTTAAAACCAAGAAACAGATTAAAAAAAAAAAAAAAAGCTGAAGGCAGCTGAACCATCTGTGCTGAGTTTTATATTGAAAAGCCTAGTTTCTTAGCATACTTATTACACACTTGACAAAAATCAGTTCACGCGCCTCTAAGTTGCTAGAAACGGACAAAACGGTCTTGTACTATACACCCCTCTTGCCCACCCACCATCACCACTACTGAAACAGCCAAATGCAATACTTAGTTTCATCTTCCAAATCTTACCAAGCTGAAAAAAATACTGCATGTCAGCTTGCTAATGGTGTTAAACTCATTGCATGGCAAAAAAAAAAAACAAAAAAATAAAAACCCATTCACCTTACAGCTATTTACAGAAACACTACTGTATGTCAGGGTTGTCATAGAGACTAAAGATAAAACACAGATACAGTACTCTGTCCTCATTGTTGCTTGGTAACAAAATATCAGTTCAACAGCCGCAGTCGTGTACCACAACATGTGCTCCCAACCAAACTTCAAACAAAAAGAAAAAAGGAAAAAATGCACCTGGTTATCAATCGGTTTAACACCAGCTTGTGCTTCAGTGCTCCTGTGCATCAGTTTAGTACAACGGATCTTCACTGTCACTCAGGATGCTACAGTTTGAGTGAGTCTACTTTGGCAGCTACACACACATGCACGCACACACACAGAAACACACAACCTTACATACAAGCTACAACTCTATAATGGCACGAGACAAATGAAAAAACGGATGTTGTTCCCATGTTGGTTTGATGCATCTTTTTTTTTTTTTTTTTTACGGCAACTAAACTGTAAAGTGTTTTGATTATAATGTGCATACGTTGTCAGAATTACAGTATAATGACCACATATGATGGATTAAAGAGCAAATGTGATTACACCCCTTGAATCCACCAGCAGGTCTTAAACGCCAGCTTATAAAAAAGATAACGAAAAATAGTGTGTGATATTTGCTAGGCTGTGCTTTCTGTCTGTCTGGTGGAAAAAATAAAACTGACATCAAATCAATTAAAAAGAAAACATTTTTTTTGTTTTGTTTTGTTTGTTAAAATGAAACTTGTAAAAGTTTAGTATTGAGGACCGAACATGCATACAGTCTTCTGACAGTCATGTGATCTCTTCTGCTACTGGTCCTGTATACTTTGCTCAGAGCTCTCCAGTGTGTGTGTGTCTGTGTACATACAGTATATTTATACAGTATACATATATATATATATATATATGTACCCACATGCACAGACTGGAGATGTTGGAGATGCTCTGCCTCACTTTGATAGAAATCACAACCTGACTCTACTGGGAAACATAAGAAGGCAGGAACAGGAACATGGCTGTCCTCTTCAGGTCCAATTTATTCCTCCTCCTCCTCCTCTTCTTCTTCTTCTTCCTCCTCCTCCTCATCATCATCCTCATCGTGGCAGTGAGTGATCTCCTGTGGAGTCTGAGGGAATAAGTTGGGAGGTTTGATCTCGCTGAAGGAGCGGGTCAGCTGGTTGCGTTTGCACTCCAGGTCCTTGCAGTCACTGCAGTGTGTGCGGTTGCGCGTGGCCAGCGGCGACTCTGTGTCGATGTCCACGTGGGCGTGTTCGACTGTTGACTCGTGGGGCATCTGTGGGAGAGGAAGGAAAACTTTTTTTTAGAAATCAAGTCGCAACTTCTTAAACCTACATATACTGTGCATTTGTGATTTATCATGTCAGACTGGACTACTGCAGTGCACTTTATTCTGGTATCAGTAAGTGAAACATACAAAGACAGCA